AATTTAAAAATGTATACATACATCAGGAAAAGAAAAGTAGCATGATTTTTTTTCAACAGATATTTTTTCTCATATGGGGGACCCTAGAGAATGTCGTATATATTGCAGAAAACTACTACATTGTTGGCCCTTGAAGAAGAAATTGAAAATGCAGCAATCTCCCTGACCAAGGTTACCCAAGCAGCAGTTGCTGTACTAATACATGTCTGGAAACTAATGGCCACCACTTTGAGCACCTCTTGTAATTGTAGAGGCCAAAGATAACTTGTATGAATTTCATGATGTATCAGTAAATTTAGTATTAAAATATTTATACAAGTTTTTCTTTACTGAAGTATATATACATTTTTTGGCAGACTCTTTTTTGGCACTGAGTTTTTCATATAATATAAATCACGCAATATTTAAGCTTGTGTGTTTGACTTATTTCACTTAACATTATGTTCTCAACTTTTATCCATTTGCTTATGAATGACTCAAGTTTATCTTTCTTTATGGCAGAGTAGTACTCCATTTTGTATAAATACTATATTTTCTTGGACACACATGTTTAAATATTGCATTGTTTCTCTTGTGTGAGAAACTGAAAGTGTAAATAACGACTAAAATAGATGATAGATTTGGAAAGTAGGAAGAAAAATGTTCAAATGGGAAGGGGAACAAGGGGAGAGGGGAAAGGAAGGGAAGGAAAAGGGAAAAAAGAATAGAAGAAAAAAATGGAAACAAAGTTTTTGTAAATAAGAAGGGAAAGAAAGGTTGAAGGGAAGGGAGAGGAATGAGAGAAAAAAGAATCAAGATATATTATGTACATACAAATTCCTTATAATGAATGTGATCATTATGTATATCAAAGAGACCAAAATAATTAAGAATAAATAAATACAACATTTTCCTTATCCATTCATCTACTGATGGACATACATGCTGTTTCCAAGGTCTAGCTGCTATCAATTGTGCTGAGGCAAACATACATATTTTGATCTTAATACATGTAATTCCAACTAGCTACATAACAAGTGCTTAATGGTCACACATTGCTGGTGGGCTGTGGTACTGGACAGTGTAACTTTAAAACATTAGTGTCTTAAGAAAGCATTTATTTGTGCCTGATGTCTGCTATTCCAGTGTTATTGGTTATTTTCTTTTTTTCAGGTTCTGGTTCCCAAAAGAATAGACTTGAATTTCAAAAGCCCTAATTCAGGTTTTACATCATTACCTTTGTAACAGACAGTTTTGTCCTAAGGAATCAAGAATATCATGTACAAGTGAATCATCTCAAAAGAATATTTATGTGTTCCTCCAGTCTAATTAAAGAACAAGAGAAGGGAAGGATAGGGTACATGCCAAGTTTACTTTTTTCTTCTGATTTTTGGCTTTAAGGATGCAGGCACTTTTACAAAAAATACCTGTTGAAAAAGAAAAATAAAATAATACCAGAGAGACCCTACAAGCTGATCTCCAGGGATTAGATATATATAAGCATGTAAACAGCTACTTGTTATAGAATCCCAAGGTGGAAGTTTTTGAATCTGCTTTCTCTTAGGGATAGCTTTCTTGAGGTATTTATCCATACAATGGCTAAGGAGTGCTGTATCTAGTATATGAATGAACCCCAGGATTCTTGACCCTCATTCTAGGCTGTCAGAATCTTATCCCAAAACTGAGTTTTATTCTCTAGTGTTCATTCATTCAACATATATGGAAAACTTAGTATATACTATAAACTTCTTTAGGCACTAGAGATATAGTTGTAAATAAGATAGACAAATTCTAACCAGTCTCTAAGGATTTCCCAGAGATTTTTTTTGTTTTGTTTTCTGAGTTTCTCTGCCTTAATATTAAAATTCATTTTTATTATGGAAAATTTTATACATATACAAAGCTGAAAGAAATATAATTTTCCCCTACCATTCAGTTTCAATAATAATGGACTCACAACCAGTTTTATTTCACTGATATTCTACTCTTTCCTCATATCCTGTTTCAAATTATTTATACCATAGATATCACATCATTTCACTGATAGATGGTTTTTTTTGTACAGGGGATCGAACTCAGGACCTTGTGCTTCTGAGGCAGGCGCCAAAACCACTGAGCTAAATCCTCGGCTGATAGATGGTTTTTAATATTATATTTTTCTCTTCCAGATACTGACATTTATACTTTAACCACCATCATTTGTGGCAGCTTGTACAAGACTTAGTATGTGGCTGTATGTGTGCATGTGTGAATAAACACTTTATGTATATATGCATTTACATCTTTTTTGTGTTATGATTACTAGCCACCATAACCATATTCATAAATAGCAGCTCCACAACACCTTCGAACTGGAGATGAAATCACTATAATTAATTAAGGATATAAAAAGAGTGCTCACTGAGGAGTTATTGTCTCTCAAGCCCTTTTATACCAGAAATATTCTGGTTCTATGACAGGCAAATTACAGTATGTCTTCTGATAACAGTTTATATCATCAGCAATTGCTAAATATTTCCTCTTGAATTACTATGACATACCTCTCCACAGCAAGCATTATTTTTCTTTGCTAGTAAGCAATCTCTGATTAGAAAATATATTCCCTTTCTTAACTTGGCCTTGACATTACTTTTTTTTTTAGTACCAGGGATTGAACTCCAGTCCTTGTGCTTGCACAGCAGGTGGTGAAATCACTGAGCTAAATCCCCGGACCCCCTTGACATTACTTTTAAGGAAATAACAAAAAGGTATTATTATGTTACAGAATGATTTGCTTCCTTTATTTTTATTCAAAATTCTGAAATTTAATTAAGCTTTTAGAAGTAGGTGTGTGTGTGTTCATGTTTTTAATTCATCCTGCCACAGTAAAAAACCCCTCAATGGCTTCCTATCATATTTTAAATAAAATCCAGTCCAAACTCCTAACATGACCTTCTTTTACCTCTAACTACCTATAGCCATGCTGCCCTAACTCCAAGTTTGATACTCTCTGTCCCATCTCTCTGATCTTCTTTAAGATCCTAGGCTCTTCTTGACCTCAGAAACATCCCACAAGTTATTATGTGTGCCTGAAATGCTCTTGTCTCTGCTTCACATGGCTAATTTCTATTCATTTTTCAATTTTTTTAACCATTTAAATATCAAACCCATAGAGAAACTGTGTATGAGCCTTTCCAGTTTAAATAGCTATAATGGTTCATATTTCCCTCTATTGTCTTCCATAATATCTATCATAATTTATAGTTATATATAGTTTTCATGATTTGCAAAATGTCATCTGTCTCCACTAGGCTATGCACTCCATCTGGCCAATAATGTCATTTTGTCTACTACTATCTTCTCAACAAGATGTACTATATCTGAAACAGAGTGCACATCCTGTAAACATTTGTTGGACAAATGATTTTGAAAGATTCAGCAGAAAGATTTGAAAATAGTAAGTAAAGAAATTAACCAATGAAATAAAGTATCCAAGGAGGTGAAATAGCATTAAGTTTAGAATATTAGACGGAAAATAAAGTACATATGTATAAAGTACATATATATAAATGTCAAGTGCTAAATCAATGATAGTCTTAGAAAGTAAAAGGCTAACTTAGAATGATTATCTTGGGAGAGATCATATTTATTTTGAGGTGGCCATGAATGATTTCAAAGAAGTACTGGGGCTGAAGGGATGGTTACATTTTATTTAACTATTTGTTTTAATTTATAAAAACAGAATACGCCAGATGGGTTGTGTTTTAGGTTGGGCTCTCTGATGAGTAAAAGTTGAGATGGAGTTAGAAGTGCAAAAAGGTTTACTGGAGAGTAGGACCTGTCAAAGGAAAAGAAAGGAAACAGGATTAAGTAGAGGAGCCATTAGACTGCCAGTGCAGGCCTGACCAAAGCTTTTGCTATTCCACAATTGAGCAGGTCCTTTTACTACGCTTTGCTCAGTCTTTTGCTGGGGATAGGGATGGGGGAGAGGAAATGAATATAATGTAATCTGAGCTTGAAAGCTGAGATGAATTTAGATTTAACAATTGGAGGCTGTTGGTTAGCTACACACCTTGAAGTTGGACAATGATTCCTTTCCTGAGGGAGATCTGAGCAGTGCACCACTGTGACTGCCACATACTATAGGATGTCAGTTAAATCCAAATCAATCCATAATAAAATGAAGAATTTTTTTTTGCAGTACTACAGTGCTGGGGTTTGAGTTTAGGGCATTCACACTGAAATACATCCTGAGGCCTCTTTGTTATTTTTTAAGAAAGGTGACTGTGTTAGTTACTTTTCTCTCCTTGCTGGGACAAAATATCTGACACCCAAATTTAAAAGGGAAGGGGTTTATTTGGCTTACCGTTTGTAGAAATTTCAGTCCATAATAGGCCAACTCCAAGGCAGGGATGACAAACAGGCATGGCAGAGCAGGAACAACATGGTAAACACAAGGGAGTAAAGGTTACAAGAGAGTTAACAGCAGCTGTTATCCATATCTTATTCAGACTATTTAGGGTGGGTAGCACTCACACCCTTAATCCTAGTGCCCTTGAGCCTAGCATTGCACCATGAATCAATTCTAGCTTCACACACTCTGTATCAGGCCTATGACCACATGAGGCTTTGGGGGGACATCCACACCCAAACAATAACAGTGTCTTAGTTACTTTTCTCATTGCTGAGACAAAATACCCAACACCCAAAGTTAAAGGAGGAAAGGCTTATTTTGGCTCACAGTTTTTAGAGGTTTCAGTTCATAGTTAGATGCACCAAGTCAGGGTGGTATGGCACAAGGGCATCACAGAGGTTACACAGTCCATGGCAAAGTAGGGGAGGCAGAAGGCAGCAAGCAATTGACGAGTGAGCCCACTAGACCTCTTTCAGTTCCTGATATTTTATACAGGATACTCACCCTTAATTTTAGCATCACAGTGAATCAATCCTAGCATCACATCCTTGATTCCAGCATCACATCCCCTAGATCCAGCCATCTCCAAAAAGCCCACCCATGACTGCATGAGGCTTTGGGCAGGACATCTAGACAGGAGCCACAATATTAGGTGTTAGCAAGTTTCTAAGTTGACCAGACTAGGCTTGAAATTGTGATATTATTATTTCACATTCCCAGAGTGAACGATTTTTTGACAATCTTGTCCTAAATATTTGGAACACAACAGATTCCCATTTAGCCAGGTTAAATTTAAGGAAAAAAAAGAGCAAAGAGGATGGATTTCACCCATTATGCACTAAGATATTCTATGATAAAATGGTAAATAAAAACAATGTGGTACTGATACAGCCATAGATTAGTAGGTCACTTGAAAGAAATCAGAACCAGAAATGTGGAAGTATCAATGTATAATAAATGGCACCACAAATCAACAGGCAAGGGATAATCCCTTGAGTGTCATTATAGAGAAAAACTGGTTTCCCATTTAGAGAAAAAAATAAGCTAGATATCACCTTTACAGCACATATAGGAGTATGTTCTGGGAGAATAAAGATCCAAACGTAATTCTATGGAGAGAGTACAGAACTGTAAAAAGAAACTGAAGCATGTACACAATATTTTTGTAATCTTGAAAAGCAGATTGAGTTTTTAAACATACTTTAAAGCATTACTGAGACTAATGTGTCCATAGATTAGGAAGGAAGACTCAAAGAACTTAAGGAGAGGCATATACAGAAAATACTACTGGGATTAGGGCAGCTAAAAGATTGCTTTTTCATGGTAAGAAAAAATCATAATGAGACAGCGGTCTATTAGAAGTTATAACATATCAGGTGTCTTACCTATCTGAAATATTTTCTCTGTCTCTGCTAGGGATGATTTATAGTGCCATTGGCCATGAGTTCAATATTAATGAACCAACAATATATCTTTAATAAGGTGCCTTTAAATAGAAAAATAAATGAATAAGGAGAACTGACTATATGTATCGGGGGCTATTCTTGAATCAGGGGATTCAAACCAATAGTTTATGAAGAAACAAAATCAGGAGACTGGTGTGGTAGTGCACACCTGTTATTCCAGCATTTGGAAGGGTGAGGCAGGAGGATCGCCACGAATTTGAAGCCAGCCTGGGCTACAAAGTGAGTTCAAGGGCAGCCTGGACTACATAGCAGGACTGTCTGCAAAATAAAGCAATGTGTGCTATAATAGAAGCAAGGTCAGACTGATGTGAGAAAAACTCAAAGAGCTTCTTCAGAGCAATAAGATCAGAGATAGATTTCTAAAGGTGATGTTATCTGCACTAAATACTAAATTTTGATTGATAAGCATGAATCCATCAAATAAAAAGGAGGAAAACATATTTTGCGATGGCTCAGTTTAAAGAACACACTTCTTTCATGGAACTCAAAATCGTTCAGGTTGGCTGAAGCAAAGACTGAAAGCTACTGAAAGCAGTTTCTAGGCAAATAGAAAACAGTTTGATGTATGAAAGTAAGGCATCATATGTTAAGGAATCTGTTATATACGGAAGACAATGTGGAAGCTGATGAAGATTTTAAGAAGTAACATGATTAAAATTACTATTAAAGGCAATGCTGATGACAATTGAAGATGAACTGATATGGGGTAGCCTAAAAAGCATGGATATTAAAATTTGTTGCTACTGTTTAGGGTGTTTAAGAGAAGACTTTAAACATGACAATAGCAGAAGGATGGGTAAGGTTTGAGCAGTCAGAGAAAGAAGTGGAAGTCCTCTCTGTGGGACATAACCTGAACAAATCAACTTACTTGCAGTCTGTAGTTCCTGACAGAAGCTTTGAAAGGCTGCAGTAGAGTATCAGAGTTATAGAATAGTTGGTGATGAGGCTGAAAGTATTAGTGCAGTTGGCCTGTGGCAAGGCTATACAACAAAATATGATTTAAACATTCCCTCAGCAATGTTAAACTTATAAATTTTATTGTACTATATGTAACATAAACCTTACCACTTCAATCACTTTGACAGTACAACTCAACGGCATTAAGTATATTCAAATTTTTGCACAACCATCAACACCATCCATCTGCAGAACAATTTTTATCATTGCAAACTTTTCATTGAGTTTATACTCACTGAAAAAGAACTCATTTTCCTTTTCCCTGCCTCCATGCACCACCCTCACTCCTGGCAATCAACATTCTTTCTGTCTCTATAGCTACTCTAGAAACCTCATGTAAGTGGAATCATAAATATTTGTCCTTTTGTATCAGGCTTATTTCACTTAGCTAAATCACTTTAATCAACACTCTGGTAATTAAATAGCTGGATTCTAATTTGCATGCTATTCTAGATGCTACATTATAGAACAAATGTCTAGCTTTGTATTTGATAATCTTTCCACTTAATGCTTAAGGATACGTCACTCTAACAAATTATAAACTCAGTCCATAAGGACAATTTTGTTCATCACTGTCTCCTCTAAAGAGCTATTATTGGTCTTCTTACTATGTCTTTAGATCGGGAATTATTTTCATTCCACTACTTTAGATCCTTTGCAAAATTCCACAGTCTCTTAACGACAGTATATAGTAAATAGAACTCAAGCCGGAATCAAACTTCCTGAACCACCAAGGAGAAGGGGTTAATTTGGGATGCTGATATGGCAGCTATCTCTTTTGATACAAGGTGAGTTCTCTGATATAGAGCTAAATCTGCTCTAAACTAAGAAAATTTAAAGGGGGTTTTAACGTAACAAGTTTAAAGGGGGTTGTAAATTGAGAGCTGTCAGTTACTTCACTTTTGTCTTGCGGCACACCTAGGTCATTATAGCTTTGCTAACAAATCGAGTAATTTTGGACTGCACATTAGTTCTGCAGAGGTATAAATGGGTCAGACTGGCCTAGCCTGTGTTTACCAATCTTGTCCACATCACAGCACACACAGACTGGGTTTGGCACTTTTGGGGCAGCAAAGGTAAATTGGAGGCGGCACAACGAAGAACATAAACTGCCCGCAAGAAGCTCTCCATTTCCGCAGGTTCGCTCGGGGTGAAAGTCCGCGACGCTCGCACAGAGGATGAGCTGCAGTTCTGGCAGATTCTGAAGTTAGCAGTCTTTCTGTCCTCGTAATAAAGTCTTTGTCTTTAGTTATTAAGAGAATAAAAAAAGAGACCAGGGCCGTAAGACACGCAAAAGCGCACAAAACAAACCGTAGCACTAGCCCAGGCTACCCTCAAACTTACGTCTCTTCCCAGCAGGCTCCAGGAGTCACCGCGAGACTTTAAGTCTCGCGAGATTTATCGGCCGCCATCTTCTTGGGGGTGCTGGGAGCCGGGGAGACCCCCCGAATCGTTCCCATTGAGCTCCCTTTAGTCTTCATTTTCCTCACCTTTGCCTTCTCTGCGTTACCAACAAGCACCTAGACCTGAAGCAGAGAGAAATCCGGGGTCTAAGCGCGTTTAGCGCTTCCGGTTCGGGAAGACTCGCTGGGGGAAGGGGAAGGGCCCAGGCAAACCGTTGCAGCCAGAGCTTGGGCCGGGGTCTGGGGAGGGGGAGCTTCTGCACCCCGTGGATTCTTGGCTTGCGGTGGACCCCGCGGAGCTGTTCGTCCAACAGGCCTCGCGGGAACCTGCCACCGGTGCCTCCCACCGCGGCCCACGCGGGCGGCGGGCGGCGCGCGGAGAGGGGGCGGGGGCAGCGGCAGAGGCGGCCGTAGCGGCCGCGACCTGGGCGGTTCGAGGAGTGACGGGCCTCGGGGCCTCTTTGGATGGTGTCTAAAATGATCATTGAAAACTTCGAGGCACTCAAGTCCTGGCTCAGCAAGACTCTCGAGCCCATGTGAGTATCTAGGGGATATCCGCAGGGGTGGCCGTGGTGGATAGGCGGACACTTAGGTGTGTGCAGTTTCCCCAAAGTGCTGCGGTGGAGGCCGAAGCGCTGAATGGAGGTTCCGGGGCTATGTTTGCTCCTGCTCTTCCACGCTCGCGCCCAGGATATAGATGACCCTGAGAGTTTGAGCTGAGCTGTATTTTATCACTGTGTTGTATTTAACACCGAGGTGATCTTTGAGTTCTGTGCTCTGGTTTCCCCGTTATATGTAGACCGACACCGAACTCCCCCATGCACGTTTATTTTCCGAGGGCCTCAAAAATCAGTTTCTTTCCTTTTAGCGAATCCGAGCACAATCCCCCGTGTACAGACTCTTACCTTGTTTCTTTAAATGAAGTGAATGGCCTTTATAAGGATTAGAACAGCACTAGTTTAAATCTCTCATATTTCACCTAGGTACAATCCCTGAAAGAAAGGCCACGTCTTCCATGTGCCATCTGGCTGGCGCATCTGCACCTCTCTTAACTGATTGAAGATGTAACAGGTGCCAAGGTGCCCAGTAAAATTCCCTTTTCCCACCAACACGCTGGTTCATTTTAAGAGGAGGAGGAAGATTCAATCTTCGTCCATATGGAATACTTACCAGTTTTACTTGAAATGATGTATAGATCAACTGGGAATGGGCGGGGGGATTAAAGTTCTGAAATGTCTTAAGTCTAAGGCCATACCACCCCGAACGCGCCCAATCTGTCTTAAATGTCTTAAATTGAAAAATTTAGGGAATGTTTTAAGGATTTATTTGGTAATACAAGATACATCATGGACCAAGTGCTTTATGAAACTTGGTTGAATTACAGTAAACAACTTAAAAATGCAGTGGGGAAAATCAGTTACTTAATATGTTTATTACTTTTCTGCAGTGTGCTGTGGGTGGCTTTGGGAGTAGAGCTTTTAAATTCCAAAGTTGACAAGATGTAATCAACAAGTAAAATAAGACTATTTCAGAGATGACTAGAGCTATGACCATTGTAATAGAGGATCATGTAAGAGTTTTTAGAATGGGAGTACTTCGTATATGATGGTCAGGGAAGGCCACTTAGTAGGTGACATTTTAGCAGCACTTGAGAAAGAATCATCTATGTGAAAATCACAGAAAGAATGTTCTTTGCAGAATGAAGAGTAAATGCAAAGGTCCACTAGTAGGCATGATCATGGTGTGTTCCTAGGAAGAGAAAGGAGACCATTGTGGCTGCAGGAAGCAGCCTTGTGGTGGGGGACATAGTGGAAACACATGAAGTTGGGGAAGTAGTCAGGGGCCAAATCCTATAAGATCTTTTAAGTTATGGCCAGGAATTAGGATTTTATTTAAAATATAATGGAAAGATAATGATTTAAAGCAGGCAAAGGACTGAACTCATTTTAACTCTCCCTGTTTTGTGAAGACTAAGGGGGCAAAATAAAAGAGACAGTTATTCTAAAGGGTATTGTAGGCAGAGATGTGGGTAATTAGCATTACAGTGATGGTGGAGACATCACTGTATATATTTGGTGGAAGCAAATATATTTTACAAGTAGATTTGATAGATAGGGAGGTGAAGGAAAGAGAAATCAAGGATGATGCCTGCAAAGTTAGTCTAAGCAACTGGATGGATGATAGAAGCTGCTAGGCGAGAACAGATTGAGGGGACAAGGGAAAGGTAGTTGGTTTTGGTTATTAAATATGAGGTGTGACATATCTAAGTGATGTTAGATGTATGAGTTGAGATGAGTCTAGAATTCAGGCTAGAACCAGAGAGATGTGGAGTGAAGTACATAGTATTTAAAACCATGGAATTGTGGGAGATTTCTTAGGTAGATGTGTAAGGAAGAGAAGACACCCAAGACTAAGGTAGGAGGAAAGCTGGGCTATATGTTACTAAATCAAAGAACAAATGTGTGACAGAAGAGGGGAGTTAGCTTTATGGGATGCTGCAGAATAGATGAAAAAAGATGGAGGCACCTAAGTGGCTCTTAGATTTGGCAAGGTGGAGGTAGTTGGTAATCTTAACAAAGTAGTTTGACTCAGGTGGAATAGTACAGATAGCAGTTCTATTCAAGAGGGCTGGAAGGTTTAGCCTAGTGGTATAGGGTGTGCTTAGCATGTGCAAGGCAATGGGTTCAATCCCAGTGTCACCAGAGACACACACACACACCCACACACACACACACGAAATTCTATTTCCATGGACTGGAACAACTGGGAGTGTAGCATAGAAGTTGAGAGGGAGGACTCCAGAGCCTAAAGATTAACTTTGAATTGTGTCTGTCCCACTTACCAGCTATAATATTATAACTTAACTCCATACCTTTGTTTCTTCATCTGTAAAATGGGGAAAATAATGAATATATATTAAGAAAATATTGGAACATTGCCTAATCTGTAATTAATGCTTGATAAAAATTAAGAAAACAAAACTTTGAAAAATGTTTTGGGTTGAGATAGCTTTCTTTTTTAGCCATTTATTTTTTAAATTCAAAGAATTAAAGAAACAAGTTTCAAATCAGCCTTAGTACTATTTCCTTTTTTCACTAACCTAAAATATTAAATCTACTTAATGTGTATGCTTCTAATTTTTCGTTAGCTTAAAAAAAGGATATTCTGTGTATCAACCTATTCAGATGGCTGTAGCACCTCAGTCATTACTGCTGTGATAAGTGAAGCACTGCTAGTAGAATTTTAGACTACTGTTGGAATTTTGATTGATCCTTTTCTAATGTGTGTTACAGTTTTATTCAGCCATTAGCTAGGCATGGTGGTGCACACCTATAATCCCAGTATGCTGGAAGCTAAGGTAGGAGAATCTCAAGTTCAAGCCCAGGATGGACAATTTAGTGAGACCCTATCACAAAATTAAAAAATGGCTCAGTATGTAGCTCAGTCTGAAAGCTCTGGGTTCAATTTCCAATACTGAAAAAAACACAAAACACAAAAAATCTGTGTCCCCATCTTTTCAATTGCATTGCATTTCAGATATATTTTTTTAGTTAATGACTTAAAAAAACTGAACTCAGTTATTCAAAATCAGTGGTTTCTAGCCTTAGTTTTTTATCTAAAGGGATGTTACTGCTTTTTTGCCTTAAGTACTTCAGCCCTGTAATTGACAAACTATACTTGTTTGAAGGAGGAACATACAAAGGATCAAGGATAAAATATAACTTGAAATTTATATAGAATTTTTAGCTACTAATGCTAGTAAAGTATCTCCTGGTTTTGGACTTACCCAAGTTTTGAGGACTTTAACCTACAATATGCTAATTAGAATGCTAGATATTGGGGAAGTGATAGGAAACAAGACATAAAATGATTATTTTACTACTGTTAACTATTTGGCAGGGAAAATGATGTGAACAAGTAATTACAAGACTGTTGTGAAGAACTCCAGAATGTCAAATATATGTCTGGGAAGGTCAGGATATGTTTTTCTGGTGCTTTCAGCTTGGAAGGATGAGTAGCAGTTTGCTGGGGCAAAAGGATGGGAATAGAGATTTGAGAAATTGTGAAAGATTTGTAGGTTTTGAAGAACAGCTTGTATGAAGGCCCTAAAAATAAGAGAAAAAGATGTCTTGGAAGAATTGAAAAATTGAAAAAAGCCAAGGGGCCTGGCATGTAGCTCAGTGGCACAGTGCCTGCCTGGCAAGTGAGAGGCCCTGAGTTTAATTCCTAGTACCAAAAACAAGAAAAAAGAGCAAAGGAAAATAGCAGTGGATAGCTCCAGAGAGGAGCCAGATCACACAGGACTTTGTTGAGTCATGTTGAGAATTTGGGATGTTACTGAAGGAGAGAGTGGAGCCAGTTTTAGGACAGGTGAGTTTTCAGATGGAAGGGATGTGGGGTGGGAAAGCCTGGTTGTAGTTTTCAGCATGAAATAAGTCTGTCAGTCTGTATTTTATTTGATTGTAAGTTCTGTAATTGTATCAGTGTTCTGAGTTTTCCTTTTCATAAATTATTGAAAATGTGGGTATTGTCAAATTAGTTAAGATTGATTTTTTCATCTTAGGCATTTGCTTAGTCATACTTGCTAACTACATGTTGGTTTTTTTCCTATAACACTCACTTTTTTTGATAATTTTATATCAAAAACTAGCTCTTTTGTTGTAGTTCTTTTTTCTTTGAACGAAAAGTTTTCTACTGTACTGTATTTAAAAACATCTTTATGGGTTTGCACATCACTAACATATTAATAGTCAGGAACTTTTTCTTTTTACCTGAAGGGACACCTTAAGATATAATCAAACATTTAATTTTTCAGAAAATAAAGTTGAGCTAATGATAGGATTTAATGATGTGCCCATAGTCTTTATTTTAAAATTTAACTGTAAAGAGTAAAATACCTAGTTTTTTGCTTGAGACTGTATAGTGCTGTGGAGGTACCTAGTATTGTGTAGTGAAAAACAAGCTTTCGTACCTAGCTCAATGTTAAAATGAACCTTACTTTTCCTTGTTGGTATATCAAGAATTTTGCATGTTTCTGCCTGCAGTTGAAAGGATTGACTGAGGTACATACGTATTTAAAAAGCTTACCTCTTATCTCCTTCGTTAAATACTGGTTGATTAAAAATAGGTCATATTACTATTGCTACTGTTACTAAAGTTACACGAACTACTGTTACCACTGCCACTTAATATTTACATGCATTGTTAAGTGTTTTGAATTACTTCCAAGTTTTATTGTTAGGACAGTGAAGCATGAAGTTAAGATACATACTTGGTCAGTGATTTAGTCTCACACTTTTTGACTCTAGAACCATGTATGTTCTCAATTTACTACTACAAGATAATGTTTTCTATTTCTGTGTCCATTGGTCCTGTAACCCCCCCCCCCCGCCAACTCAGGACCTTGAATTTGCCAGGCAGGCGTGACACCACGGAGCTACATGCCTGGCCCTGTTTTCTATTTCTGTATACTTTTTTACTACTTTGACCACTTTCTTAAGGAACAAAGTTTTAAAGCGTCATTATTTATTAGTAC